CTAGTGTACTGCATTGCTTATTTTATCCTTTATTTTTTTCTTTTCCCTATTAAAGAACTGTTATTTCCTGCTCCCATATTTTTGCCTGAGAGCTCTTAATTTAAAATTTATAGCAATTGGGAGGGGTGGGGAGGGTTTACATTCTCCATTTCAGGGGAGGCTCCTGCCTTCCTTAGCAGACTCCTGTCTTTCCAAACCAAGACAAGCACCCACAGGGCAGAGGGTGACACAAGCGACAAAGCAGCCCGATGGTGAAGAGGAGAACCTGCTCTGTGATCCCAGAGGGGCTGCATGAACGCCTCAGGAAGGCTTGGAAAGGCTGCCTTTCCCACAGAAACAGGGCTGTCATCCAGCAGACGGTCAGACCACAGGCCTGGGGCTCCCCTGGCCTCTCTCCCAGCGTGGTGTCCCCAGAAGAGCTGGCTAGCTGCACATGGGCACTGCCTGCTCCAGCATGGAGAGATCCCAGCACTGCACAGGGCTCCCTCTCCCCAGCAGGGATCCAAATTGGAGAGTGATTCAGCAGGGTATTGATTGAACTCTCTGCAGACAAATGAACTCTCCCTCTCTCTGGGCCATGCTTTTTAGTGCAGGGCTTCAGCCTCCTGCATGAATATTTGAATAGACTTACAGTGGAGTGGCTTCACCTCTGCAGGGAGAGGGAGAAGCAGGAAAGGAAGCACAGGTTGCAGGTTTGAAGTTTCTGCAAGCAGGCTATGAAATTGAGTTTTTTCCATATAAAGAGGTTCCCAGTGCTCTCAATTCCCATTAGCACTGCACCAGAAGCACACACTTGGCTGCAGTTCTCCAGTCTGCAGCTCAGAGGAGGGTGAGGGATCAATCACGGCATCATTTGGGGTGGAAAAGCCCCCAAGGTCATCGAGTCCAGCACTGCCAAGCCCACCACTAACCCACATCCCCAAGTGCCACATCTACATGGGTTAAATCCCTCAGGGGTTAAATCCCTCATGGGTTAAATCCCATGAGGAATTTTTCCTAAAATCCAATCTAAACCTAAACCAAGATGAGCTACACTGGAAGAGGAGGGTGGGTGGGCACAACCACCAACATCCTAAGGCTCACACCTCACCCAAAACTCCTCTGCTCTCATTCAGCAGCACAAGAACTCCTGACAGAGGGGCTCCTCCATGGTTGCAGAGAACATTTTCCCTCCAAAATATGTATTTTTCCATTATTCCCTGTGCAAAGGAAGTGTTGGAACCGTGGTTACTGAGAATTTTACACTTTCTGTGCTGATATGTAGTGACCCCCAAGAGAACACTGTATTTGACCTGAGCATGGAGAAGGCTTCCAAAATTGAATATTAGGACTAAAATTATGGGTGTGGAGTTTGAATAGAAGCGTGCAATATGACATAGTAGAAAACTTAGACTTTAAGGTTTTAGAATATAGTAATATATAAAACCAAATAGAGGCTTTAGGGCAGCAACTAGTCCTTCTTTTTCATAAGTTTGAGTAGTATTGTCTAATTAAATTAAAAAGTCCACATTGCAGACCACAAGTAGTTAGTCATTAAGTTAAAAGTAAAAATAATTTAAGTGAAATTTCTGAATTAGACCGTTTATCCTTAAAAAAAAACTTACAAAGAAAAAGACACAACTCCATTTTTAACTTATCAAAGTACTGTAAAACAGTTCGTAAAACTATAATATAAATAAAAACTAATAAACATCTAAATGCAAATAAAAAATACCATCTCACAGATTAAATCCCAACCTGAACAACAACAAAAAAAAAATTAAAAAAGAAAAAAAAAATTGCACAAGGAAGCAGCGCACAAACCTTCACAGCCTTGGAGGAATCCAGGCTGCTTTACCCCAGCTGGGAGGAGGAATCTCCAAAGCGGAGATATTTCATCCCCACGTGGCTGCTGTGACAGCTTGAAATGGAATCCTGCAGCATCCGGGATCATCTGCATCCCAAATCCAAACATCCTGTGTCAACCCCTGCAGCAGAAACCGGCTGCTCTTAGGCTGTGAGCTTGGAGAGGGGGAATGCCTGCTTTCTGCAAGGAACCCTGCCACAGAATTCTGCATTCTGTTATTCATGTGTAAATGGTGCCAGCCCAGCTCCCAGTTCTGCCTCTCATTACCTCCAGAATCCCACCCTTACACAGAATTACTCCTCCCACGAGTCCATTCCTAACACAAAAAAAAAAAAAAAAAAATTTGGGGTTTCCAGTCTGTTCTTGAGCAGCCTTCATCTCCCCTACACGGAGGAGGGAAATCCAAGGTGCTCTTTTCTCCCACAAAATGGGAATCTGCCACCAAATCCAGATGCAACTGAGACCTTACAGTATAATAAACTTAATTTTTTAACACAGCCACTGCTGCACCCCCTGCAGACCTGGCTTTGGTGGAAAAAATGAGGCAGGAATTCCACGGCTGCAGAGGTTCCAGTCATCTTTAAAGGATGAGCTCATCTCAACCCTTTTCTTACATTGAACTAAAAATGGGGGGTTTTGCATCCAGGACAAAACTACAGCACCTCACCTCTATCCCATTCTCATAGACAAACTTCGAAGGTCAATAAAGAGCTTTGATAACAAATGAAAGACCAAACCCACCCCAGAACCCAAAGGGAGAGTTACAAACAGCACCTATTGCTCCTTGGAGTTCCCAGACACGTTGGGACACCAGGATTTTTACCCCTTTTCCAAGGCTGGTGGTGAAGAACCCCTCCAGGTAAAACACACTTCCACCACACAACAGTCCTGAATCCACAGAGCCAGGAAGGCTGCATTTGCTCAGGGATTTCCAGGAAATGAGTCAATCAGCAGAGGAGAAACACTGCATTGAGAAAGGGAATGGGAATTTAAAGAGATTCTTTTCAAGTTAACCAACAGAGCCGGCTGAGATGCAGAAGCCACTGAATTTGCCCTCGGGCTGTGGGGAATGAGTCATTTTCTTTTCTCTCTCTCTCTGTATAAATGTCAATCCTTAGTGACTTCACCTTTTTCTCTGCCTTGCTGGGAGACTGTGTCAGGCAGTGCTTAAAGGTTTTTAGCACAGGGAGAGGGTTGTTGGCTGCCCAGCCGGGTGTTTATTATGGGATTGTCTCACCATAATATTTTCTGAAAAATCCTCTTTGCCCAGCATTTTCTCCTGGGAAGCTGAGAAGCCTCAGAGAGAAATGAAAACAATAATTATCTGAATTGCTGCTCCTATGTTTGCCGCTTGGGAATGTGGCTTTGACATTGTTTATCAACAGGTGAATGTTTGATTGGTTCCATGTGAATTGTTTTAACTTAATGGTCAATCATGGCCAGCTGTGTCAGACTCTCTGAGTCAGTCACGAGTTTTTATTATTTCATTCTTGTTACACCTTCTGATGTATCCTTTCCTTTCTTTAGTATAGTTTTAGTATAGCATAATTTAACTATAATATAATATAATATAATATAATATAATATAATATAATATAATATAATATAATATAATATAATATAATATAATATAATATAATATAATATAATATAATATAATAATATAAATCAGCCCTCTGAGAACATGGAGTCAGATTCTCATCTCTCACCTTGTCCTGGTGCCAGAGAAGCCTCAGATTCCTCACCCCTGAAAGTGCCCAGGGCCAGGCTGGACACAGCTTGGAGCAGCCTGGGGTAGTGGAAGGTGTCCCTGCCCATGGTAGGGGGTGGAATGAGATGGAATTTTGGGTTCCTTCCACCCCATATCCTTCACCTGTGGAAGGAAAGCACAGCACAAAGCCATGACAGGATGGCAACTTTGCTCTCAGCTCTGCTGCTGGAGCTGTTGGGACTGGGATCAAATGTGGGCTCCTGCAATTTAACAGGAACCTAGAAAGGCAGGGAAAATTGGTCCATGAGATTTCCTGCCAGCCCGTGCCACCAGTCTCCTGCTGCTGAATGTGTCCATCCCAGCAGGGAAGTGGAAGAGAAGAGTTTGGAGCAGTGAATGAAATAAAATGTCCCCTCTCTATTTGAAGCCTGCACTGACGGCAGCACTTGCATTCAAGCTGCCACCTGAAGCTTTGTCCTGCTGTCCTCCCACTGTGGCACCACAAGAGCAGGACACAGTGACACAGAGATGCTCCCTGCCCAGGCCTCAGCCCTGCCCTGGAAACCTTTTTTTGGGAAGCTGTTAAATCAGGCTTCATGCTGGCTCCTGCCCTTCCACCATCCCAAATAATTTCTGGTGAGGGTCAAGTACCAGGAGCAACCTCCAAGAAGCTCTGAGGTGTTCACAGAGGTGCAGAGCCCAGCTCTGGGTAATTTACAGGATCCTCTGTGGCTGAGGGAAATCTTTGCCTGTGCTTTGGCTTCTACCAGGCTGAGCAACACAAGGAAATACTCTGCAAAATGATATGTGTAATCCTGGAGAGTCTTTTCCCAGCTGATTTTTAATGAGATGTGGTCTCCCTCCCCGCCAAGCTCCCCTTCAGATTAACTTTGCTCCCTGCCTGGCAGGTCAAATCCCCACCAAAAACACATCTCAGAAGCTGCAAAGGAAAGGGGAAAAACACAGCAGAGAGGCAGCTGCACCCTGCACTTCAGGGATGTGCTGGGCACCTCATTGCACACACACATTCCCACTAATCCGTCCCCTAATTCATGCCACGTGTGTCTGAGCACGGAGCTGGCCCAGCCCAGGCTTTGAAGCAGAGCAGATGTGGAGTTATCTGCTCCACCAGGGCTCCAGGCAGCCAGGAGGGACAGTTGCCTTTGGCAGAGGATGAAGGCACCTTTCTGCTGGGGACAAGGACAGCTGGACTCAGCTCGTGCTCAGCCAAAACCTCCTGGGCCAGCACTCAGCAGGGTCTGACCTGGGTTCCAGCCACAGGGCCTCAGGTTGCCTCCTCACTGGTACCAGAGCTCACCACTGTGGGATGTAACAGTGCAGTAGCACTTTACAGCTCAATATTTGGTATAAAGGTTTAAATGAGCTGCTGTAACAATGGCTCACCTGCATTTCATCTTCCTGGAGCACTCCCAGCTTTCCACCTGTGCCCCTTCCTTTATACATACATATTATACTATTGGCTTTTTGCAAATATTAAAATGGATTCTATATGTGTGGTGTTAAAGTAGCTTTGCTATAAAGATCTTGTGGTCTGATAGAAGTATGCTTGTGTTGAAATGCCTGCTTGGATGGGATAACATTCAGTGAACATGTGATGAGGACACCTGCTACAGATGTGCCACCTATCAGCACTCACTGTCTGAAGGAAACAGGGACCAAAGCCCAAAGTGGAAGTGATGATAAGAATGAAATAAAACCACAACTCTAAAAAAGGCAGACCTGAGAAGGAGCCATGCTAAACAGTTCTTGGAACGTGTAAAGTGGTTTGGGGAATGTAAGAGCTGAAATGAGAGATGTGGGACTCCAGACAGCTCTCCAAAATGCAGTTTATTCAATCCAAGACGTCACAGCAACCCAGGGTTGTGGGTGACAGAGCTGTGCCCACAGCTGTCAGCTCCAGCTGCAGGCAGGCCTGGAGACCCTTTGGTTTTGGTTCCAACGCATTATATACTTTTCTTTTGGTTACAATGCATTATATACTTTGCTGAGCATCTTTATACAGTAAAACCAATCCATACCTTAAATTTTACCTATAGCCTACCATAACTACTGTAATTACCATATTCATGTTGCTGTTCTCCAATCACTAAAAGTCAGCACATTACAGTTTAAGCCAGAAGTTGTTTTTCAGTTTTCTTGCAGCGGAAAATTCTGAGACCTTTTTTCTACTTGCAGCACTTGCTGAGTTGTTTGCCTGTGCTCTCTTTCTGCTTGGTAAAAACATCTTCTTGTTTGGGGTGGGTTTATCCTTTGCTCTGAGCCATAAAAACCCCTTCTAACTAACACACCCTTTGCCTCCTTGGTTAGCCAGTAATGCTGGCTCAGCAATTCTTTTCTTCTATATCAAAACTTGCTTTCATTTCTATTCCTTCTTCAGATTTTACATTCAAAAAACTTTCTGCTAAGTATACCTGTGAGACTTCCTTGTCAAACTTTCATCTTTCCCAACAGGGGAAAAGTTTAATATGCATAATTGCTTCTGAATATCTAACAGGCAGATGCAATAGAAATGGCATATTAGGGGTGCTTCCAAAATAGCTGGGATGGTCTTGGCTGAATGCCAAGAGGTGCCCGGCCATAAATCTTTGCTTTATTGTCTTTGTCTCACGTTGTACTTTATTGGACTTTTTAAATTTTTACAGGAGAGTGAACCTTGTTTTTCAGAAAGCCCTTTAGGGTTTTCCTAAGCCCAGAGCCTGCTCCAGGCTCTGTGTGTGCAGCGTTACCCACGGAGAGCAGAACACAGTGGGACATCCTTTGGACATTTCCAGGAATGCTGACTCCACCACTGCCCTGGGCAGCCTGTTCCAAGGCCTGACCACCTCTTCACCTTTTTCCTACTATCCCATCTAAACCTGTCCTGGAAGAGATGAAACTCTGCTCCTCCCATCAGGGAGGGCTCTTCCACGACATGCCAGATTTGGGAGCATCCCACCATCTGCACAAATGGTAAATACAGTACTGACAGGCTCAGACGAGGCATAAATCACATCTGCAATGGTGCAGAGATGGTTTTAGCATAGGAATCAATCCCAGAATGGTTTGGGTGGGAAAGGATCACAAAGTTCATCTCATTCCACCCCTGCCATGGGCAGGGACACCTTCCACTAGCCCAGATTGCTCCAAGCCATTCCAACTCAGCCTGGAACACTTCCAGGGGTGGGGCAAACATGCAATATTCTCACTATAAACCATCCCAAAACAATACCACGAACCAATACAAATAATATAATATACATTCATATATATATGAAATATATATATGAATATATATAATATATTATATATACTTTCATGTATATATATACAAATAATATAGTATACTTTCATATATATATGAAAGTATACGATATTATATGTATAAAATATACCATATACTATATACTAGTATATATAATATACTATATACTAGTATACATAATATACTATATACTATATTTGTATATTATATAATATAATATACTATAACATACTATAACAAACATAAACATGCAATA